ACTCATCTCTAAATAGCATACTCATCGCACTAAAATTTCTCCCTAGGCTCTCCTAGGTTCTCATACTTTTTTGCCATCAGCTGCTGGAGAACTTCTCATGATGCCAGCCATCTACCTCCTGAATATCGTCATATTCACTTAGTACATGACTCCCATCATCAAGAGTTCCACAAAGCACAAAGCAAGCAGCATTCAGGCATCGAATAACCTCCACCGGCACATAAAACCACTCTAGCATACAACTCCACTCGCTCTATCCACAACTCAAAAGGCATTACCGAGCTCAAGCAACCCTACCTCTCGTGGTATCTAACTACTCTCTCAATAGATTCCTCAAACGCACATCTAGGTATCTCTCCTAGATTACTCCTCTATTCAAAGCTCTCTCTGAAAGATTCCTGCTAAGCACTCCTACTCATCACATACATAGAGCAAATAGCAGATATTATCAATCAATAGCAACCCCTAGGCTAAGGCATTTCTGCAATACCTAGCCTATGCAGCTCTAATATCTCATAATGTAAACAAGTAATGGTACTTTGGGAAATCACCGCTCGGGCTCTGGCTGATTGTACACACTGCTCCGTCTCGTTTTCTCTTTAAACTCTTACTCGTTTTAGAAAAATCATTTCTTTTTAGAAATTTTTTCTCAAATCCTCAGTTTTAGTCCAGACATACCTGAGAGTACATCTGAATCCCTCAAACCAAGGCACTCATACCAACTTGTAACACTGTAAATTTTCAAACAAAATTTTCATTTTTAAATCACATAATTCTCATTAACACATTTCTCAAAAACCCCAAAGTGTCAAAATATCAAAAACACAAATCCATAATTGTTTGAATAAAAATCCAGGATCCTCAAAACATAACTCCATCTCGTGTGTACAATCAAGCCGGCGCCTTCCCGTGATCCTGAGAAGTACCTGAAACACATATCGCATAACACGGTAAGCACAAAGCTTAGGTGTTGTTTGTTTTTTCTGAGGCAAAATGTCTGCAGTCTGCGGACCACATCTGTAGACCTCTGCAATAGAAGATGATTACCAAACGTCTGCAGTCTGAAAAAACAAGATTGTTTGTTTTTTTAACATCTGCGGGTTACTAAAATAAACTGAAATCTAAACAAACTGATTTTTTTAAACTTCAAAGTGTTTTTTTAATATTTTTATGACTTTGTTATAAATAATTAACAAATCTATATCAACTTTTATGTATTATTGTACAAAAAATAAAAATAAAAATGGTATGAATTAACATATATATTTGATAAAAACCAATAATTTTGGTTGCAAAGTTATAACTAAACATTATAATTAAGGATCAAAGAATTTGATACATAAATGGATGGAAATAAACTTCGATTTTTTCAATTAAATCCATTAAAACCGTAGCATAAATATTTTCTCTAGAAATTGACGATAGTGTATTAAATAATGTTTTGCAAAATTTAGCAAAAAAATATAAGAATATATTATGATTTTTTTTTTGTATTTATATAAACAACTTCAACGACTATTATTGTAATAAATCTTTATTTATAAATTTGTCAAAAATATCATGTTTGTATCGTCGAACGTTTTTTTTTTAAGTTTTGTAATTTTTTTTTTCAATTTTTTTATCATTAATAAAGTTGGAAAAAATATAAATTAAAAAAAAAAACTTAAAAAATGTAGATATATGTGTTTTTTTAGGCTAGAAGATGTCTGAAGATGTTAGAAGACTCTGGTCCACATCTGCGCCAAGAAGAGGGCGTGCAGACATTTTTAGGTCTGCAATCTTCAAAAAAACAAACAGTCTGCGAAGGCTAATGTCTGCGCGTGGTCTGCGCGGCGCAGACAGAAGAGACCACGCAGATCTGCAGACAAAAAACAAACACCACCTTAGTGAGTTCCCCAAAATATCACACACATCTCATTAGCCTCTCATGCCTATATCTCAATAAAGACCCTCCGGTCGATGTGTCTCAGTGGAGACCCTCCGGTCCCACAACTCGGTTTGGACCCTTCAGTCCTAACTCAATGAAGCTCAGAAGAATACACAACATAAATCACAAAGACATAATGCAGGATATCACATTACTCAGTAATAGCATACAAGACCCTCCGGTCACACAAAGTTACCACTCATGGTAAGTATAGTGAGAAGACTCACCTCGTAAGCAAGCAAGTAACCCTTGTACCCCTTGAACGGTCTATTCTCCACCTACATGTCATAACCATCTCTAATTAACACTTATCACCACAACTCTAAATAAATTCGGTCAACCTCACTCTCTAACTCTTGGAATGGGTGAAAGACCATTTTGCCCCTCCATGGTCTCCATAATCCAAGTCTTGACCAAACCCTAAAAGTCAACAGAAGTCAACACTCGAGTCAACAGTCCCTGCTGACCCAACTCGTCGAGTGCATCTATGTGACTCATCGAGTCCCCTCGTTTCCTTAGAAGTGTCGTGAAAATTCAACTTAACTCGTCGACTTTTCTCGTCAACTCGCCGAGTTACACGCGTCCAGACTCGTCGGGGAAAACCCTAACCGACTCGTCGAGTCAGCTCACCGACTAGTCAAGTCCCTTCAGACCATTTCCTCATTCAGACGTTTTTTTAGGCAGAAGTGATGTCTCATACTCTGGATCTAGCCTTCTAAGGCTCACTTATCACGTAAAGCTGCAAGCTTTACGTTCATGCATGACATATAGGGCTTAAAATGCCAAAACAAGCTCCATAAAGGGTTTCATGCATGGAGGCTTGCCCAATGCTTGATAAAGCTTGGATCTTTGGGCTCATGGGACCTCCTATTGTCCATATCTGGAGTCTCAACTTCATGGCAAGCTCCATAAACTTAGGAACCACAAGATAAGGCGGAAAAAACCCTAAAAGTCTCTAGAAAGAGATCTATCAAAAGAAATGCTCAAGGTGGTAGCTTTTTACCTCCAAACTGAAGCTAGCGCAGAGAAACACTTCATCCACAAGCTTCTTCTCGTTCCAAGGCTTGATGTTCTTCACTCTCCTTCCAAATGTGCACTAAAACACCCAAAGTTAGCTCCTCTCTCTCTCTATCTCATAAATGGATAGACACGATTAGGGTTTCTCACAGAGGGTTAGAATGATAAGGGAGGCGGAAATGAGGGCTTAAGGTCCTTTAAATAGGACAGAAACCCTGAAAATTAGGGTTTTCTCACTCAGCTCCTATTCATCGAGTCGGGGTTCTCCGACTCGTCGAGTAGACTCTAGAATCACGCGGCCAATTAACTCCTCTACGTGGCGAGTTGGGGTATCCAACTCGTCGAGTTGCTCTGAAAGTATGAAAATAAATTAATTAAATATTGTACCTAGGAGTCGGGATGTTACACTTGAAAAAATCTTTTCCCAACTCTTGTGTAAAATCATTCTTGATCACTAATTGTGACACAATCCAATTGCTATCATTAGTCATATTTGTTTCCTCCATAGTAGTAAAAACTGAAAGAACTTGAAAATTATCGTCAAAAAATTCTTCGTCGTCTTCTTCTCCAATTTCATCTTCTTCTGATACATCATCTGTAGCAACTTCATTATCACTTGTTATTGCATTGCTTGCAACAGCAACTTGAGAGATTGAGTAGAAATCCTCATTCTTAACAATGTCTAATATGACATTAGCATCCATCTATAATCAAATACATAAAATGTGGAAAAAAAACCATCTTGCATATTCAAGCAAATAGAAATGGAAACCAAAACAAGAACTCAATTAAATAGATAAAAAAAAATTAAAAAAAAAAAAAAAGACAATCAAACATCATCCAATCAAACAGACAAATATAGAAAAATCAGATTTACAACAACAGTAAAGATGATAAATCAAAATATCTTGCATATTCAAGCAAATAGAAAGAGAAATAGAAACTCAATTTCAATCTCGTATCATCTTATCAAATAATCAAACAAGGAACATCTATTCGTTAGAGATCATTTTGCAATCTCTATGTAGCTTAGACGATAAGTTGCAAGTCTAAAACAAATAATTTGTTTTTTTTTTTTAATGTGGGGGGGCTTTGTTTTTTTTCCTTTTATCGTTGTTTTTTTTTTCTTTATTTTATCAGAGTACGTTTTCCGTTCTTCATACTGTTGAAATATGAAGTTTTATGTACACTCGAACTCACATGGATATAAAATTGTATGTCTCTTTTCATCAAACGTAATTATAAAATTGTATGTCTCTTTTCATCAAACATGATGCCATAAATATTATTCGATTTCGAAACTAACTACAAGGTTGTAATCATTGTAAAACGCCAAGGAGTAAAACTGAATGTGTAAATAAACCACAACACAAATGCTCTTTTTGTATAGTTAAGTTTAACCTTACTATAAATTATTTTTTGTCAATATATCAAGAACCACATGCCATAAATATAAAATAATAAAATAATAAACAAAAAAATATTGATTAAATGACAACCCTAACATAAATTGCATACATTTTGTAAAGTTTTTTTTTTTTTGAAAGAGTACACCTTTGTAAAGTTTCTGGAGTCTACCTTTTATATTTGCACAAAAGTTAACCAAAAAACAACAACCATGCAAACCGCAAATATTTTGCTACATAAGCAACAGAAGGGTTAGGGGTACACGTCACAGTGTGATTCGAACCAGAGAGCTCCTTAAGTAAGACAAAATGCAAAGGAAACTAGCCCTATGAATTAAAAAATCATGAAAACATTTATAATGTCGACTTGGGATCGATTAAAATGTAGGTATAATTATAATATAAAAAAAATAATAATAATAAGCGTACAGTCGGACATCTCATATTAAAATAGTGAAATAAACAAGTAAAACATGAATAGTCATCATCAACATCATCATCATCTAATATATCCATTAATGAAGTTGGGTTATTTTTCCTTCAAGAAAAGGTAAGTTTGTTTCCCTCACAAGCGGTCCCCATGCCTAACAACTGAAGGCTTTCAAGACACTGAATAACATCAAATACAAAAGAAGCACCATTGAAGTTCACTAGTCTTGAAAACTCCCCAATCTTAAGATTATAAACTTGGAACCCGTTACAGAAGCTGTAGAAAACAAGATCATCACTCGTGCTCAGTTGCAAAACACTTGATAAATGTGCCCTAACTTGATCTTTTTTAAAATTCAAAAAAGCAGACCAAGAAGCATCTTTCATCAACCAAATCTGATTAGCAAAATCAGCTAGCGAAGAAACCGCAGGTATAGAACCTTGGATGGGTGTTGGTGCAGCTACCGAAGAAACCGCAGCTATAGAACCTTGGATGGGTGTTGGTGCAACAGATAGCACATTTTTGAATGGCAATGCAATACTGCCAAAAACATGAGTGCTCAAATCAAATGTCAATAGATAATAGGTCCAAGTCAAATTATAGTGTCCCAACCAATACAATACTCCATTGAAAAAACATGGCTTTGTCATCACAGAACTAAACAAAGGCATAGGGGAAGCAATTCTACGCCAAGTGTTTGTCTTCAATGCATAAACAAAAGATCTTCCTGCTTTTTTCCTATTACGTTCGGGTATACACACAATCCTGTAATCATCAATGACCGGGTCAAAACCGAAACCGATCTCCACCTCAGAATAGCATGTCCGAGGACAATCAGGCAGGGTTAGTTTGCGCCTAATTGAAGGGTTCCACAGACTAATACTTTTTTCATCATAATCAAACAGACACACAAGTCCATTATATGAACCAATAATATTGGAATGTGTGGAAGGAAACTGTACAGGTGTTATATCGTTGTATCCATGTGTGCGAGGCAATGGCAATTGGTCTTGTGGATGTAATGTGTAGAACTCTTCTAATTCACCTTCTTTATTCTCTTTATGAGCTCGGTGTCTTATTAGGAGTTTTTGTTGGGATCGAAAAGTGTGCATGCGGATGAAATCAGGGCTACCAATACAAGAATACCACGATTTGGAGAGCGATCTAAATCGGAGGAGGGATTTGCTCGGTAGTCTCGTGAAGATTTCAACAATCAACTCATCGCATAGATGAGCCGACTTCATGCGCTTCGGCTTTTTTCTAAGTCGACCAGACATAACTACAATACAAATAATATATATATATATATATATATATATATATATATTCAAAGATGTATTATAATATTTAAATTCCAAATAAACATCCTAGGTTTCAAGTGTGTCTACCGTCTATCCTACGATCAGTCATCATATATAAAAATACAAATCTACAAGCATATTTTAGCAATCTAATGAGACAGTATGAATGTTTAATTATAAATAAATAAAGTATAAACAGCCTAGAACTAGAACATCAAGATATCAAGAAACATTGACCTTTAATTAGCATTGCTTTTCTAAAACATATTTGTTATTTGATTTTCTTCTTTCTAATTTTATAAAGTTCGTCTCACATATACATATACTCAAACAGACTAATGTACTATCACCCCACAAGGATTTTGTCATTTTCGTTTTATACAAATCATGTAGGCACTGATACACAAGCATCAGCTAACTCGTCTGCATAATGGTGTCATTCCAAGTGAACCTTGCATCTCAGGTCAGGTGTTAATACTTTTGAGAATCTTTCAATCAAATGAGTTGTCTTTTTTGAAACCCAAAAAAAAATTCCATTAAGGCATTACATCGAAAGCGTCATGTGCATATTAAAAGCAGGAAGATATTGAAGAGATAAAACTAAAATGGAACCTGTGAAGAAGAAATCCTAATGGTTATTGATTTAAGAAACTGTAAACCCATAGACACCATCCCATTTTATTTTTGTTTGCCATGTTATCTCATCATTCATCAAACAACATGACAAACAGATGGTGAGTGGGAAAACACATTAAACTCACTGGAATCAAACCAGAAAACTGCTTACTGGAGTTGGAGACTAGAAAAAGATGACAAGGAATTGATTTTATAAATTGAAAAATACTGTTATTGAGTTCATTTCTAAGAATTGAAGCTGAGATTATACACTAGGGATCCTAATCAGCTTTGACCCGCAGAACAATTTTTTATGGATCTGGTTGAATGCCTTATGCATTCAAAAGACTAGAATCGCTGTTATTCATGTGCACACTTCAGGAGGAGGAATCCAACATCAAAGAATCCTTCAAAACTCTGCATCAAATATAACCTAAAATACTTATTTTTGTTGACTGATTTCATTACATTTCACAGGCTGATTGTGTAAGTGCTAAACCTTTTGTAGGCTGGATTAGAATATGTCCATGTCTTCTAATCTATTCTTTTTTAACAACCTAATCTGGTTCAAGTTGGATGATTTCCACTTTGACCCACTACAAGAACATACAAGCCTTTATTTGAATGGTTTGGCACTAAAGAACTTTGACCTCTTTACGTGATATATATATATATATATATATATATATATATATATATATATCCCTTTTTATTACTAGATAGATAGTGTCCAAACCAGATCCCTTTTTCTCATAATCTCCTTACACCATCTCAGGAACTATATCAGACACATAAGATCAGTTTCCATGATTAAAATAAAAAAAACTATCAATTCCGAAATTCAAATTCGAATTCTACTTTACATGATCAAACTCACGTATTACTCTTCATGGTGCAGATGATTAAAAAGCTAAATAATTTCACAGAATGCTTTAACCACATCCCGCCTAAAACCTAATTAAATTCACTCACCGGAGAACATACAACAGAACACATCCTAAAGCCTAATTATCATCCCATACGATTGACAAGATTCCTTACAGGAAACAACAAACAGAATACATTCTGGCTAAAACCTAATTATCATCGCATTCAATTGATAAAATTACTTAACGGAAAAGATAAACATAACACATCGCGTCTAAAATCCGATCACAATCGCACTACGGGTTACAAAATCGCTTACCGGAGAAGATGAACAAAACGGCGGACGATTGACGGAGTTGTTGTCGGCTGGTCGCTAAAAAATTGGATGGACGACTCCGCAGATAAGATCATAAGATAGCATAACTTAACGCCATAGCTGCAGAGATTTTCTGGGCTTAAACTCAATTAGTAACTTTCAACTGTGGGCCAGCCCGACGTTTATATATTTTCTGGGCCCAAAACAATTGTTTTTCTATGCTTTTGTTCTTCTTAAAGGAGAAGACTAGAACTGCACAAATGGACTCTTCAACCCATCGGTTTGAGAACCAATTTGGTTTGTTCTACAACTTTATAAGCACTTTGAGGCAAAACGTAGAGCCGAGTATGCTACAGTTCGGTGTTAGTTGAAATATAAAACTAACGCGACACGAAATAAACGGACTTGTGCAAGATATTTCAACCCGTCTAAATAAACGGGTTGACATGATACGACACGAAACTTAAACGGGTAAGGTTATGGTTGAAAATTTCAACTCGAAAATGACTCGTTTATTTATATGAAAGTTCTTTGATTCTTTAAATAAACTAAAAAGATCCAAAACCAAAACCATAAGTAAAAAAACATTTGGATTAAATCGTTTTTGTAATGTGGAAATATCTTAGTTGGCTTGATCAATACTTCATTTCAGTTTTTCCATTCTCTCCCAAACTACACAGTCCGTTTCACCATTCTCTCATCCTCATGATCTCGTCCTCCACCCACGCAACTCCTAATGTTTCTATTTTGTCATTTGAATTTGTTATGACTTTATCTAATCTGAATCTCAACTATTACTTTTTCATGTCCGTCTACCCAACTCATACTCCTTCAACATGTTTAATGTTTCGACATACAAAGCTTAATGCATATTATACACATTAAAAAGAAAAGTTCATGAGGCAATATGGGAAGGGAGAGGAGAAAGAAAACGCTGACGGCTCAGGTGCGGAGGTCGAATTCCGATGTATGCATAGGGCCTCGCTCCCCTTTAGAGGAGGTATAACATTTAACCTTATAGGAAGAGGATTGTCACAGAGCTAAGTGCTAAATTTATCGCCAGAAATCGGTGCGTCTAGACTTTTAGATGATGGTCTGAAACTTAAGGTGACACAGAAAACAATATATATATATATATATATATATATATATATATATATATATATATATATATATCGAATCAAAACAACGTATACTCAGCTTCCGTGCTTGACAAGGACCTAAGAAGCTAAAGGGAAGACAAGGACCTATACTCAGCTTCCGTGCTTGACCGGGCCACTACTTTTTGCTTTCTGGATGTCCAACTAATTAGATTTGAACCATGAAAGATAGCAAAGCCATACTGAGAACGACTATCATCTCGATCTGAATTCCAACCTGCATCAGAATAAGCATGAAGAGCGCGAACTGTAGTGGGTTTGAAGTGAAGACAATGATCAATAGTCCCTTTTAAGTATCGAAGTATATGTTTCACTGCTTGCCAATGTCTAGTTGTTGGAGCATGCATAAACTGACAAACTCTGTTAACCGAGTAAGCAATATCGGGACGTGTGATTGTTGCATACTGAAGAGAACCAACTATCTGTCTATACAGTTTTGGATCTTCAAATGGGTCACCTTCTAATTGAAGACGATGATAAGGATCAGCCGGTGTCGTCATCGGAGCTGTCATCGCCATGTTACTTTTGTTTATCACTTCTTGTATATAAGCCTGTTGAGAAATTTGGAGATCATCTGTATGTCGATGTATTTGAAGACCAAGAAAATAATGCAAGTCACCAAGATCTTTTAGTGAGAATTGTTGATTCAAGGCATTGATAAACTTCTGAAGGTGAGATGCATTTGTGCCTGTTACAATTAAGTCATCCACATACACAAGAACATAAACAGTGGAGGTAGATGAAATATGCACAAACAGAGATGTATCGGACTGACACGCTCTAAAACCATTTGTAACCAAGTATTGCTTTAGTTTTGTAAACCAAGCTCTTGGTGCTTGTTTAAGTCCGTAAAGAGATTTGTGTAAGCGGCATACATGGGTGGGATTATTTGGGTCTTCAAAGCCTTTTGGTTGTTTCATGTATACCTCCTCCGTTAGATCGCCATTAAGAAAAGCATTGTTAATGTCGAGTTGTCGAATTTTCCATCCTTGAGAAACAGCAATGGAGAGCACAAGACGTATAGTTGTAGGCTTAATAACCGGACTAAACGTCTCAAAAAAATCAATCCCAGCCTCTTGACTAAAGCCTTGTGCTACTAATATGGCTTTGTGTCGTTCAATAGTGCCATCCGATTTTCTTTTAATCCTGTAAATCCACTTACAACCAATAACATTAGTATTAGTAGGACATGAAACTAAAGACCATGTGTTATTTTTCATGAGTGCATCATACACTGCCTTCATTGCAATTTGCCAACATGTGTGCTTATTTGCTTGAGAGAAAGTTTGTGGTTCAAGATAAGAAGATGTGGAAAGATGGAAGAGTTTTGGTTTTAGTGAGTTGGTGCGAGCACGGGTGATCATAGAATGTTGATTATTGTCAGCAGGACGATAATGAGAAGGAATAGAAGGATTTTGTCGAGCTCTTGAGCTAATTGTAGATTGTTGATGATGTGGAGTGGGAGAGGGAGACATAGATGAGATGATTGGAGTATTTGATGGACTCGAGTTAAGGGTGGAAGGTGGTGATGAATGGGATGAGATTGTTGGGGAGGATTGGATTGAGGATGGTGAATCTATTTGAGTAATAATGGTAGGAGTATTGTCAACATTTGGTGAGGTCTGATGTGAAGGAGTAGATTGAGGGATGTATGGAAAGACTTCCTCATTGAAAACAACATAGCGAGAGATGTATATGCGAGAGGTTGGTTGATGGAAACAAAGATAACCTTTGTGTGAAGCACTATATCCAAGAAAAATGCAAGGTTTGGAACGAAATCAATTTTGTGAGCATTATATGGTCTGAGAAAAGGATAACAAAGGCAGCCAAAAGTTTTTAGAAAATCATAATCAGGAGCTTTGAGGTAAAGTTTTTGATAAGGTGATTGGTAATGTAGTATTGGTGTGATGGTACGATTGTTTAAGTAGGTTGCTGTTTTAAAAGCATGTTCCCAGAAAACTTGAGGTAGTGAAGCTTGAGCTAGAAGAGTTAATCCTTTTTCAACTATGATTCTATTTTTACGTTCAACAGCTCCATTTTGTGCTTCGTTATAGGGACAAGAAATACGATGAATGATGCCATTTGCATGAAGAAAAGACGAGATATTTCGAAATCCCCCACCCCCAATCTGTTTGTAAGCTCTTTATATCATAGTTGAATTGAGTTTTTATCATGGTTCGAAATTGTAAGAAGGTAGAAAAAGCTTGTGATTTATGGGACAAAAAATATATCCATATAAACTTTGTGCAATCATCAACAAATAAGATAAAATACCGATTTCCATTTAAAGAAAATTCAGGGGATGGACCCCATACATCAGAGTAAACAAGTTCAAAAGGTGTAGAAGATGTAACATGCGAAGAAGCAAGAGGAAAACGATGACTTTTTCCAAGTTGACATGAGTCACAAACACTTGGAAATTTATTTGATGAAACAAGAAGATTAAATGAAGCCACAAGTTTACGCAGAACAGGCTCATGAGGGTGTGCCAAACGTTTATGTCATCCATGTAGAGATGTACGGATACCGGTGAATGCCATTGAAGGAGGTTTTGATAGGGTATGAGGCAGCCGATAGAGATTATGTTTAACATCTCCTCTGAGTATGGTTTGTCCCTGCAAGGTCTTAACAGTACAATGATTAGGCCAGAACTCTATATAGACATTATTGTCTCCTGTTAACTTAGACACACTTAAAAGATTTTTAGTGAGTTTAGGAACAATAAGCACAATTGGTAATTTTAAATTAGGCAAAGAAGAGGATCCAACATGAGAAATACACAGATTTTTACCGTTTCCCACTTGCAGCTTATCATCCCCTTTGTATTCTTCTGAAATATGGAGCTTGTTCAAGTCAGGAGAAACGTGATCAGTGGCTCCAGTATCAAAATACCAGGCAGGGTCAATGACAGTAGAAGGGTTGTTGTTATGTTGTGCCATATGAGCTTGTCGAGGCTGCTGTCTGAGATTTGGTCGTCTAGAAGGAAAATCAGTCTGATTTCCTCTTTGCCAGCAATCAATAGCTTCATGCCCTTGTTTGTTGCACAACTGACAAAGTGGTCGGCGTTTTCTGGAGTCAGAATTGCGAGAGCCTGAATTTGGATTTTGATTGTTATAGGAGTTGGATGAACGGTTGTTTGATCGATTTACTATAAAAGCAGCAGGTGGTGATTGAACAGATGCTAATCTAGCATGTTCTTGTTCTAGGCGTGCTTCCTCCTGTAACAAAAAACCTATAAGATCATCAAAGGTCATGGCTTTAGTTTTCATCATAAAAGCAGTAGTAAAGGCGCCATATGATGAATCAAGACCAGTCAATATATGACCAATAAGTTCCTCATTAGAGATTGGAGTAAGATTGGTAGCTAGAAAATAAGCAATAGATCGCTTTTTCTCAATGTAGTCGATCATTGACATTGACCCTTTAGAGAGTGTTTGAAGTTGGGCTCGAACTTGAAGTCGAGAAGCCCTAGATTGGGCTTGAAAGTTCCGTTCAATAGCTTGCCAAGCCATTTGAGATGAAGTTGATAGAGTAACAAGAGCTAGGGCTCTGTTAGACAAGGTAGATTTCAACCATAATAAGAAAAATCTATCCCTCTTCTTCCAGGTAGCATATTCGGGATTAGGAGCTGTGGTGGCCGGAGTAGCAATCACAGCAGGAGCATCAACAATAGCCGGAGAAGCAGAAACAGTTGGAACGTGAATGGTTGCAAGTGGTGGATTAGGATGAAGAACAAATTCTTCCAAATCAAAAGTTTCAAGAGCTGAAACAATTGTTGTGCGCCAGAGAACATAGTTATCTCTATCAAGTTTGACTGTGATAGATGGGATTTTGAAATTTAGGTTAGAGGTGTTGGTAACAGCAAGATTGAGCAAACTGAGAGAACTTGCTGGCATGGAGGAAATCACGGGAGAAAGAAAAAAATTGTGAAATATTTTTAGGGCTCTGATACCAT